TTACTACCCAAATACAAATTCTACTTAATGTTATCAGCAGACGAGCTTCTGACAGAAGATTTGTGAATGAAAAGATGCCGGACTTCTGTACGATATATATATCTGATATTCAAAAAGGGTAGAGGCAGCAGATCCTATGTCTACAATAATAATAATAATAATAATGATGATGATAGTGATATAATTGTAATAATAACAATAATAATATATTATTAATATAATATAATGATAAGAATAGTAATAACAGTAACAATATAATAATAATAATGATATATATATATATATATATATATATTATTATACTCAAATGCAATGTATACCCTTCAAGCAATACTTTAAATAAAGACCTGAACACACCTGAACGTTTTCTGGGTTCTTTTCGTTCTATCTCTGTCTGTCTGTCTGTCTGTCTGTCTGACATGTCTGACGTTTGACAAACAAACCTCGTGAAACTAGCTTGACAACTGAGCAATTTATTATCACTTTTATTGTGTAGAAACACCATTCCTCCATAGATGTAATCATAGATGGATGCACTGTAGGAGCGAGTGGCCCTGCTCCAAGATTATTATTATTATTGCTATTATTATCATTATATTATTATTATTATTATGCTATATTATTATTATTATTGCTATTATTATCATTATATTTTTATCGGTCCAAAATTCAGCGAATAATTCTACTTTGAGATTGAGATTACCTTCGTAGGTTGATGTCTATGCTCACGCCCAGCAAACACTGAGACCCTGAATGACTCTTCATGGTTTGAAGATGTATCCAAAGTGAAAAGATGTCCAGGATGTTCCCTGTCCCATGGTAAATGGTAAATGGACCTGTACTTGTATAGCACCTTTCTAGTCTTCCAACCACTCAAACCCCCCCTCCCCCCACCCAAAGTCATGAACAAAACTAACGCATTCATACACTTCACCCACGATGCACACATCAACCTGGCTAGGCATTTAGCTAGTCCCATCGCTAGGCATTTAGCTAGTCTGCCCAAGGTTAAGTACAGAGTGTGCATTCAGCAGCTTTATACATCCTAAAAACTGAAAATATTATGTCAACTTTTGGTTTTACACAGGACACCAACCCGTCTCCTGGGTGAAAGGCCTGTGTTTGACCCATTCACTCACAATGACCGCATCCCTGTGTAGACTTTAGACACCATCCCCATCTGACATCCCACCTCATAACCACGTTGAAGTTTTTGGCCTCTGACTAGAACCATTTTTGGCCTCACCGTCCGAGCAATATTTGCTGGGCATAGTGATCAGATCTCAGCAGGTGTACATGCAGTCCGTACAGTGTGACCGCAGTCCCTCTGCCCAGCAAGATGAAATGCCGCCTCTTCCTGCTAGCTTAAGCCCGGCACGAGGTACAAGTAACAGCAGTAGCAGGCGAGTCTTCCTGCACAAAAAGTGATTTTGAAATAAATAACTGTTTGTGGCATTGCATTGATTTATCAGCTCAATAAACAGTTTCCTAATGAGTTTATAGTCTCAGTCTCTAATGTCAGTCTTCTTCCATACAGCACGATGTTCATTTAGTAAATGATGATGGTCCCATTTAGAGTAAAATAGACCATAAAGCGGTGTATGATTTAGGGCGTGGCTACCTTGTTACTAACAAGTCATTCTCAGTTAGTCCGTCCAGCTCAACGCACCAAAATCTGTTTCTGTGTTGTCTATTTCTCTCCTTAAAAAATATTTTAGTGTATTGTTAAGCTGTAATAAGGAGCCCCTGCCCTACAACAGGCTGAGTCCGCCACTGGGTGTAAATGGGGCCACTGATTCAGGTGGAAGCTCCAAGGACCTGAACAGAGAGACACTTTTCTCTCTGGTCTCCAGCACAAACAATAGTTTAACTAAGGATATAGCTAAGAGGAGGATTGTCATCGTGCAAAAGGGGGGTTTATATGGGGTGGCAATCCCCTGCTGCGAGGCTGTAGTGGAATTTCATCACAGCTTGGCTAGGCACCACATTGCTAAAGCAGACCGACACAGACCAATGGAGAAACCCTACATCAGACTGTTGCTTTTAGGTCTGTGTAGTATGTAGTTCTATAATGACTACAGTTGTAATTAACAAGGTAACCAGACAAACCTACAGTTTTGTGTACTGAGCATTACTACACTGCCAGGAGGTTGTGTTCAGCCAACAATTAGTATTATCTGATACTGCATTGAAATCAGAGGTGACATTATTATCATAGCTTCTTTAAGTGATAAGTATTTAACCGTGGCTGACAATCAGTATTGCAGTGTTTGCATGTGAGTGTGTTTGTTTGTGTGTGTGTGTGTGCGAGAACAAGAGAAGGTCAATGCATGCTGACAAGCAGAGGCTCATGGGATAAGCCTTCCAGATTACAGCTGTCTACACCAAAATGAAAAATGACTGTCTCTGAAAGTGGAAAACACACAAATGTCACTCTGCTTCAAGTAAAATAACTTTTACAGCCATGTTGCTCCCCAGCTGGAGTCTCTATCCATTCACACCTATCTGCCTACCAAACACAAACTGACAGGCGTGTGACAGGGTCTGCCTGAGGTTTCTGCCTCTTAAAAGGAAGATTTTCCTTGTCACTGTTGCCAAGTGCTTGCTCATGGGTGGGAACTCTTGGGTCTCTGTAAATCTCTATTTGAAAACTGTCCTGAGATAACTTTTGTTATGAATTGAATAAAATTGAATTGAATTGAAAATAGTTCAAAATGGAGGAAGCGCTAACATACCTCCTTTTCTTCCTTGTCTCAGTTGATATAGGATTGAGATAGACTGAGTTATCTTTATAATCGCAGCAACACATTAAAGTTCCAGTGTGTAGGATTTAGTAGTATCTACTGTAGAGGTGTATTCAAAAATTGCAACCCCCACACCTCATTCTCCCACTCCAAGCGTGTAGGAGAAACTACGGTGGTGGCAGAACTTGCAAAAATGAACAGCTTTATCTTCATCTTCTTTGCTGTGGTGTGCTGGGGAGGTGGCATCAGGACTAGGGTTGCCAACAAACTGAGCAAGCTGGTGAGGAAGGCCAGCTCGGTGGTTGGGACGGATCTGGACAGTGTGGAGGCTGTGACTGAAAAGACGATGAGAGGGAAGGTGAAAGCCATCATAGACAATTCAATTTCAATTTTCAATTTCAGACAACCCCTTTCACCCTCTCTACACTGAGCTGAGGCAGCTCAGGAGCACTTTCAGCTACAGACTGATCCGGCCAGAGCACTTTGGAGGCTTGTCTGTACCATCAGCCATGAGACTCCACAACGCCACAGCACCCAGTACCTCCCACCCCTACTGACTAAAACTGGTTTAACTTCAACCTATGATGCACAAACTTCTTGCACAAAATATTTATCGTTAATCTTTTGGTTTACACATATACAGTTTATTTAAGTTTTACAAAAAACTGCTCCAAATATTTTGCACACCACTTTATTGCATATATTGTAAATATTTTTCATTTATAGTCTTACATTTTTTTATTATATTTTGTAATATTCACTACACATACACTACATTCCCCTGTGCTGCTATGTCTAACTTGAATTTCTCCTATGGGGGATCAATAAAGGTACATCTTATCTGATCTTATAGCCAGTGGTTCGTCAATTCTGGGCTACTGTAGAAACATAGCGGTTCAACAAGGCAGACTCCATGGAAGGTGACCATCAGCATCTGTAAACATACCTATGAATATTATATTCTATTTCTGCCAATAGATCCTCCTAAATGTTACAAACTGGACATTTAAGTGTCACCACTTTATTATTTACAGACCTAGCCGCTGAAGTTAGCTATTATACACATGCAAGCAATCATGCACAACAAGGTGTCCAAATATACAGTACATTCAAAATGGAGAGGCATTTCCATTACCAACATCCTTACTTGCTATAATGCATTACCCTGATGCCCTGACCCCCTACACTGGCCAAACAACAAGACAGAACACAATTGTGTTTAAAGTGTCATCTGTTTTTGTAGTCAGTTAAACCTATGACTTTGGCTAGACATGGGATTATATGAAAATTTCATGTCACCATTATCTTGGCCAAAATAATTGTAATACACGATATTATCATGAATCTTCCCTTGTCCCCTTGTTCAAAATAAATCAGGAAATCAATATAGGACTGTATGCTGTACAGACAGCTTTTTCAAGTCAAGTCATGTAAGTATATTCACGATTATCAGGATAATGGAAATTCACCACGATAACTGTGGTGTTTTTTATTGCGATACACGATAATATCAAATATTGTCCCATTCCTCGTTATGACTAGTTTCTTCAGAGCAACCCACAAACAAGAAGCTGTGAGGTACAAACAGTGTTCATCAGAACATTTGATATCTTAAAATGTACACTGCTGTAAAATGATATAAAATACTTAGTGCTTCATGTATATGATCATATTTTTGGGAATATATGTATATAGACAAGTCCATTCGGGATCTAGTGTTTTTCAATATATTTCTAACTGTCAATTTTATATCTGTATATACATATATCTGTATCATACATCTCTCTCTCTATATATGTTCTATAAATTCATCACTCCAACTTTTAATTATGACTCTTCACAACATCACTTGTCATTTAAAAATGTGGGTATGGGTTAGATAAGTAGCATGCATACAGTATGCAAAAGTGGTAATGGGTGAGAAGGTGAGTAGGATGAGCGTTGGTATCACTGATAATGTAGGTATTTATGGGAAAGTAATGAAAAAACACTAATAATTTAACACTCGTATCCAGCTTCTCAGCCATTTAACTTCCAAAATGCAAGTGATCTTTCTAAATGCAAAAATAAAGTACATCCTCTTCATCAAAAACAAACATATTGCTGAATCCCTATCTAGTTCATCATGTAATAGTAAGAAGACACAAAAGAAAAACACATATGCCCATCCTCAAACCGCTATTCCATTTTACTGCCCATTTTCCTAAACTGAAGCAGATATTCTGTCCCTGACTTGACCCAAACCCTGTTACTCACTGATGAGCTGCTTTTGGGAGGTTAGCGCTGGTCCCCTGAGCTCGCTTCTTCCTGTTAGTCTTCTGCATCTCCAGACCACTCTGGAAACCCAGACGACCCCCCTCAATGATCCCGGGATTGAAATGAAGGATGAAATGGAAAGAGCTAAGACCGTAGAGTGAAGGAGAGAAGTAGTCCGAAATGTGAGACCTCCAAAGGCCTGTCCTCCACCGTCTACAAAATCACAACAAAGACCTGTGAGTCTGTGTGCTGCTGTGCATGTGCAGCCAGCGCAGTACTAGCTGAAAGTGTTCTGACCTTGCTCCCTCTCTTTTCCCCTTCTCCCTCCCTGGCATTCCCCTTACACACACACACACACACACACACACACACACACACACACACACACACATTACCCCCTTCTCCCTGTATCACACAGACACCCAGAACCAGTGTAAGGAATTTTTCTCCCCCCCCCCCAAACTGCCATACCTAAAGAAATAGTTCACCCCCAAATGAAAAGTATCTGCATCAAAGCTGCAGTAGGTAACCTTCATAAATAAACGTTTTGTCATATTTGCTGAAACTTTCACTATATCCTGACAGTAGTAAATGAGACAGATAATCTGTGAAATAATCAGGCTCCTCTGGCTCCTCCTAGTGTTCCTAATGGTATTTACAAGAATCCACCAGGCCTGAATGAAAACAACCAATCAGAGCTGAGAAAGATAGTTGATTGTCGGTTATCATTCCAAGGGCGTTAAATACTGATGCTTTGGGACCCTGGGGATGAGAGTCAACAATCAACTATCCTCAAGTCTCCAACCCAACATGCCTTTATATATTTCTTGGCTCTGATTGGTTGTTTTTTTTTTTACAAAAGTTACCTACTGCAGCTTTAACAGCACCTCACATCTAGTATGTTCTGTTGCAATATATAGAACAAACAGGCTAAAACTGCTGTCATATGGATTCACTTTTGATTATAACATATAAGACACTGGCCATATTCCATTTGAATTCTTAGCTTAAACTTTATTTAGCTATTTATAGGATTTAATTTCAGCCAGGGAAAAGCATCCAGGGTTAGCCCTCTATTACAGGATGTCAGAAATTACTGGGTCACAAGTGACAGTTTCAAAGTCTTCAGTTACACCAGACCGCTGATTCAGAGGTGGAACGGTGAGGCAGGGGGGACAGTGAGAGGGAGGACAGGTTGGGATTATGTAAGAAGATAGAGCAACGTAGAAGAAAGAGTGTATTTTTGCAGAGTGAGATATAGAAGAGGGAACCCCAAGATGATCAGAATGAACAACAGAACAATAAATAAAAACAGAATCAACTGTAGTTTTGTGGCATTGGAAAAAGCTCTGATGCTGCATGGGACACTTTGGATCATATTGGCCAACCCTCCCTGTTTCACATGGAGACTCCCATCTCTCATCGCCCTTTCCTGGTTTCCTCCCAGGGTCACAATTCTCCCGTGCAAAATGTTTCCCTTGTTGTTATCACAACCTGTTTCTAGCACTGTACAGGGAGTGTGTTTGCTTCAGCTGATTATAATGAACACACTGCTGTGGGCATACTGCGGCTTCAATGTTGCACAGACTGAGGGGGGTCACATCGAGAGTATTCCTTGTTTGTGTGTACACATACCAGGTCAATAAAAGTGATTCTGATTTCCGTTCTTCACCAGAAGTCACCAGAATGCAGAAAACAAGTCTCTGAAAGTCACATTTTTCTTGAGTGAGGACCCCCAGACTGCTTTGGTTTCAAAATCCTGCCTATTTTTTCATTTATTTTGCAGTCAACCACACCCAAACAATTAACATCACGTTTATTTATTTGCTTTTAACCATATATTTTAACACTGTTGGGCTTAATGAGCAATGTTCTGTTACATTAGCCATTTTTTTCTTTGTCTTTGAGTTACCATGGTTATTGGGGGCCAGCTCTTTGGGCCAAATTATGTTCTGCCATGTCATAGGGGGGGATTTGGGTTTAGTTAAGTTTTGCTGTGTATTTAATTATTATACGTTCCCTTAGGTGTCATTGTATCAGGTCAGTTTGTTCAGTTGTTTACCTGTTGTTATATTGAGGATAGTTATATCTTATTGGCCTATTTTACAGGCCTAGTTACTCAATTCTTGTTTTTAGAGCAAGGACACTCCTCCACACTGCTAAAATATCTGCAATATATATATTTTTTTCCATTATTATTATTTTTTTTCTAGTTGTTTCACATGAATTTAAAGTACCTCATTCATATACAATTAAAATAAAAATACAATGGTAGCCGCAAATGCGGGAAGAATTGATAAGAGCAGGTTTCAGACCTTCATTTGTTGTTTGGCTGCGAACAACACATATTATATACAATGATGATATAAAAATGTAGAGAAACTGCTTTTTGCATTTTGCAGTTACAAACATAAATAAACGCTTATTGTAAATGATTCTATTATCCTCCTTTAATAACTCCGTACATGCGTTAGTTGAGAGCCCTGTTTTAGAGTGTTAGCATGCTAACTTTTACTAATCAAGTACAATTAAATAGATTAAGTAGAGCTGAGGCTGATGGGAATACAATTACTTTTGCATGTATCTGGTCATAAACCAAAGTATTAGATAAACTGAAATGTTGACTGAAAACTGAAAGCACTGGGGTCGAAGTTCTTTCTCTGGGGACCAAAATGTTTCGACAGTCCATCGAGTAGTTGTTGAGTTTGCTGAAGTTGTTATATTTTATCTTCTAGGACAGTGGTTCCCAACTTGGGGGTTGGGACCCCACTAGGGGTCACCAAAGTGTCATGGGGGGTCGTGGGGCCTTCTTGATTTTAATACATTTCTGTGAAGAAATCTAAACTGTTATTTAACTTTAAATTAAACTTCGAAGAAGTTTGAACCCTGGCTATCAGGGAGTGAAGGCTCTGTGAATATAAACAGCCTCATTCTGCATTAAAAAAGTTCAAACAACCAATGAGAAGGAAACACTGATGTAAAAAATAATAAAAAATACAAAATACAGACAGAGAATTGTATAAAGAGTTCCTAAAGATTTCAGGAAAACTCATCTCTAATCAATACTCACAGGAAATATTCTGCTCAGAATTCATCCAAATTTCTCATTTCTCATACACAAACTTCCTGCAGTTATTGTGTTCACTGTTTGGGTTCATTGTACAGTTTATCAGTTGTTCTGTACTGTTATTGTTAAGCATTGAATATAATATGAAATAAACATAAAATATGTCACTTAGTCAGTTTACTCAGTGATAGAAAAGGACTCCCTTAAGGAAAGAGGTTGGGAACCACTGCTCTACGAACCTTCTGAAGCAAATTTTTATGTCAAACTGATATTCAGTCTGAAGCACAAATGTCGACATGGTATTGGCAGTAGAGGAAACCCCTACATATGATCAAAGTCTGTGGGTATAAGCCTCTGGGGACGATGGATATCTGTACAATGGTTATTGAGCCATTTCAGTCCCGACCAATGGGGGACCGACAGACGTTGTCATCTCCAGAGCCAGGTTGCTAGCATGGATGAAACACTTCTAAAGCTCACCAATGAACATGTTATATCTCATTTTTCAATCTGTGTATGAACAGTAATAGATTGTGTAATGGAACAGTAAGAGAAGTGTGCCCGGCTATCGTTCATCAAGAATTAGTCATAGCATGTACCTCCCGCCAAAACCACAACCTGGCAGTTTTACTTACTTACTTAAATGAGATAGAGTTTCAGCAGTACCCATTGTAATGTTCAGTTAAGGTGTACTTTACTGATCCTCAGTATCCTCCGGATTTAGAGCAGAGGAAAACCACACGTCAGTACATTTGTCAAAGGCAATGACAGGAGTAAACCAACGTACGTTAAACATACGTGTCTTTATGGTAAGAGACGTGGAGAAAACCCACACAAACATAGGCACAGCATTCAAATTCCAAATAGAGAGACATGTGTGGGCCTATAAGGGTTTAAACCCATATGAACCACTGAGTCACTATACCGCATGTCTTGGTTCAACTTTTTATCTTGACTTTCTAACTGTAAATGCTTTTATCTTTGCCATACAAATAGGGTCATATAAATAATGACTGATATTATTTTGTGTAATATGTAAAATAAATTTGAGTTAATGCTTGGTTAATTGTTTTCCAAGGTATGTTTTTTTTTTTTTTTACAGATTGAGAGAGAAGAGGTTCAACGAGCGTTTTCAAGATTTGTCCTCTAAAATTAATATGGGAGTAGATGGGGCCGTGAGAGGGCGTTGCTGGCGCATCAGTGCGTCTCCGCCAAAACTATTTGTCTGACAGCTTAGCAGTAGTATCACTGCGTCTGCCTGTAAGCTGGCCTGTGTGTTGTGTCTATAATTATTTGTGTGTGTGTCCTAAGTTCAAATCTATTTTTAGCAGTTTTTTTTTCCTCTCCCTCTAACTTTAATTTAACTTTTTTTTTTTTTTTTTTTTTTTTTTGTTTTTGCAATTAAAACATTTTTTTTTTTTTTTTTTTTTTTTTGTTTTTTTTTTTGTAATTTTTTTAAATTTTTTTATAAAATTTTTATCTTTTTCCTCTCCGTTCCGGCCGTTTTTTTATTTTTTTTTTTTTTAATTTTAAAGGAGGGGGGGGGAAAGGGGGGGAGAAAAAGGGAAAAAAGAAAAAAAAAAAAGAGTGGGGGAGGGGTTTTTTGTTTTTTTTTTTTAAAGACAATAATAATTTTTATTATTTTTTTTTTTTATTGTGGGGTTTTTGGGTGTGTCTGCGTGTAGGTGGCTGTGTGTGTGTCCTAAGCAAATCATAGAGTGACAGGTGCTGATTGACATGAGTGATGATGCTTCCATTTCTGCCTGGGCAAAAAATTCAAAACCCTGAGCAGCATGAAATCCCATCTGTGTTTGAGAGTGTGCGTGCATGTGTGTGTGGTGAAATATGATTGAGCTTGGTTTTAAGGTCATCTATCTATCTATCTATCTATCATCATCTATCTATCTATCTATCTATCTATCTATCTATCTATCTACACTGCAAATAATGAATCTCAAGACAGCAAAAAAGCCTTGTTTCTGGGAAATTTGTCTTATTTTTTGTCTAAAAAGGAAAAGCTTATTTTCCCTTATTTTAAGAGTTTCAATTCAATTCAATTTTATTTGTATAGCGCCAATTCATAACAGAAGTTATCTCAGGACACTTTTCAAATAGAGCAGGTCTAGACCTAAGTCCTTAAACATTAATTACAGAGACCCAACAGTACCACCATGAGCAAGACCTTGGCGACAAGGGCAAGGAAACACTGCCTGTTAAAAGGCAGAAACCTAGGACAGATCCTCCGGCTCTAGGTGGGTGGTCGTCTGTCTCGACAAGAGTGAGACCACTTGAGCAACTTCTCAGTCAAAGGGAGAGGAGTCTTGTCCCAGTGTGTTGTAAATGAAGCAGCAGCTGTTTAGTTTTTCATTGTTTTAGTAAAAAATGCTAAAATAAGGGCTTCTGGTGCCTTCATTTAATACAAAATTACAAAGCCTTTTTTTCTTTTGTTAATTATTAATATTAGATTAAGATACAGATGAAGTTTTCAGTGCTTGTAATAAGCACAACATGACTAAATGTTTTAGCAGTTTTAAGGCCCATTATGGTATTTCAGTTTTAGGCATTCTAGCCAAGCAACATTTTCAACTGCTTTTTTCGCTCAATACAAGAGAATTTGAGATGTCTGTTAAATATGTTCTGATACACATTTTCCCTTCCTAATAGCAAAACTTTTATCATCTAGTTTGACAGTCAGATTGCTGACATTTAGCTAGCTCTGGGTATCCTGCTCTGACTCAGATTGGCTAGTACTTGTTGCCGTTGTTGGTTTGGGTTGGTTAGGGTAAGAATATCAGAGTAAGCCAATCAGAGTCAGAGTAGGGCGGGTCATGACTTCACCATCCTGAAAAATAAAGAAAGGACACTGCTGGGAAGTAGCAGGGTTTTATTTCAAGGCTAATATTACATGGATCTATTCATTTGAAAATAATTTCAAAAGGCACTCAATTTAAGGTCCAGTTTGTAACATTTAGGAGGATCTATGTCAGGTATGATTTCATTAGTTTAAAATCACCTGAGAATAAGAATCTTTGTGCTTTTGGTACCTTAAAATCAGCCTTTAATATCTACAGATGCCGCGGGCCACCTTCGATGGAGGCTGCTGTGTTGAAACGCCATGCTTCTCCACCAGGGGGCGATCGAGATGTTTTGGCTCCACTTTTGGAGAGCTGTCAGGTCATCCATCTTTACGCATGTCAATGCCCACAACGGTAGAACCAAACATTGGCTGTTGGTAGGGGTGTTTGCACTTTGGGAGGGTGAAGCGAGGGGGTTGAAATCTGCGGCTAGATGCCACTAAATCCTACACACTGGACTGAATGGGTGAAACAATGTAAATGAAGGTAGAATCTGTGGATGAAGGAGTTCCTTCTTGAAGATAGATTTGGCTCCTTCATGGAAGAAGTCACACCTCCAACACGTCTGTACCCACCAGTATGTCACTATGAATGGGGCAACATTCAATTAAACTCATAATAACAATACTAAGAAAACAAAAGCTGACCTGGCCAACCTTCAAGACATGCATGCAAACATATGTATTGAGTGCAGCAGGGCTTAGGGTGTGGCTAATGTGGTATATGATATGCCTTTACATTTTGACCTGCAGGAGTTATACAGTGCAATTCACCTGCACCGGGAAGACCGACATCATCTGACAGGTAAGTGATAACGAACTGTGCATTAAAAAGGACTCCACTAGCATTGTATCTTAGTGTGTAAATGCCAATATTAATATGGTTAATTAAATATGTGTTGTTGTATGTAATGACAAGGTGGGCTTGATGACAGGTATATAGTTTACAGTAATTACAGTATTACTCATAGTATTGTTAACAGCAATCAGCTTTGAAATAGGTGCAGAGAGGGTGTCTGGTTTGGGTTTAGGCCAGACATTTCTCAGTCCTACGTGGGTCCACGTCTAAGCATTCAAATAATAAATGGATCCTGTTTGTCCGTCTACCGTCTTCTCACAGATCCAGCGGTTCCTGACACTACAGTTGTAGTCATTCAGGCCGATGAAATGAATCATTGTACGAATGTCGCCGCAGTCTTCTCCGCCGTACGCTCCATCGGGCTGCCCCAGGGCCCACCGCAACCTGCAGACAGAAACAGTACACCAAATTGATCATTAATTGCATCACAGCATCTGCCATCAGTGTACTGATTGATGTCTTATAAACTAGACCAGACAAGCACCATAACAGCATGCTAGAGATGTTCCGATACTATTTTTTCCTTCCCTACGGTTTCTGTTGTTCATTGTGTGTAAATATGTGTGTAACATAAAATGGATAAAAAATGCTGTATGACCTGGCTCAGATTAAACCCTTCGTGAAAGCCAGAGTAGGCTGGGTTGCGTTTTGGGGCCAAACCCCCAGATTCCACCAGACACGACCACAATGCATTCTGGCTCCACCGCAGTCACCAGATCTGAATGTGCTCGTTCTAGGGAATGCTCTAAATTCTGGAGAATAGGCGGCTATGTTTGACAGAAGGCACCACCCACTCGCATCAAGCAGCACAGAGCAGATCACACTGGCAGGAAGTCAGACACAGATACAGCAAAGAGAATCTGGTCAGTGTTCAAAATAAAATACCTTGTGCAAACTCACAGATTTCACACTAGATCAACATTGTGGCACGAGGCTCGACGTCAATCAGTCACAGGCAGGTTAGAGGAGATTTTAAGTGGAGAAACACACTGTTTTGTATAAGTCTTCACTCTTCAGGACAAAATACACAAGTAAACAACGTATGGCAGGCAACACACTCTGAAGACACTGTGCCTCTAAAACGCTAGTTGGGATTTGAAGACGCGTGAATCACCTGTGTGCAGACACACGTACTTGGTAAATAGTAAATGGACCTGTACTTGTATAGTGCCTTTCTAGTCTTCCGACCACTCAAAGAGCTTTTACACTACGTGGCACTAGGGGTTAAAAGTGGAACAGATTTCAACTTGAAGCGCTCTGAGCACTGCGCTAAAAAAGTCTTTTTGAAACCAAACCATTTCCATGCCAGAGAGGTAGACCCACGTCTCGGCACTAAATCATTTTAAACTGTTGCAAGGAGGATGCTAGCGAGAGGTCATGTGATCACATCATGTGATCACGTAGGCCCACTAGTCGTGTGACTGAATCCTGTCATGCTGTAGAGAGCGTTGCTGCACCGTGTATTAAGTGGATGTGAGGAGTTTCCGCGTGCGTTTCAATATTTTTGGCGAAGTAATTTAAATAATTATCACAAACGATATATATCGCCCACCTCTACGTGGCACATTCACCCTTTCACACACATTCACTCAGTGATGGCAAAGCAAAAGTGTTGTGGTTCGACCCATGGGAACGTCAACATATTGATGGGCGTCGTGGCTGGTCTAACCCCATCACAACTTATTATTTTAAAACAGCCTTAAAACTTAAACTTAAAAAAAACATTAACTTAAAAAAAGAAATTGTAGCAAATCAGTCACACAGAAGAGGAATCTTTTAGCAACTGCATCTGTCATCTGTGTGAATCTATTCTCATTCACCAAACTGAATAACACACATCCTAGATCAACCATTCATTTATTTCTATAGGATATCTCACTCGTCTTTGTTCACTGGTGCTCCATCCACCCAGACCCAAGTCCCTTCCTTCTTCCTGTCAGTCATACCGACCCATGCTGCCTCTGTGAATCCGGTGAGGAAGGCCTGTCATGAACAACAAAAAAAAAAAAGGAACTAGAGTATCACACAATGTCCACTGAAATATTCTATGTCCTTACCTTGCAGTGGTGTAATATAAAACTACCTGCTCCTGTATGCTGTTGATGATGACCAGGTCAGCGTCCCTCTGCAGGCAGTCCTGCCGGCTGTCGTCCCAGCTCTTCCCCTGCCAGGAAATGTAGTAACAGCTGGAGCCGAACGTCAGCCAGTCCTGTGGACAGCTCTCTTCCTCTGTCTCACCTCAACACAGACACAGACAACATGTCTTAACATAGCATCTCGTAATCTATACTACGACATATGGACAGAATATGGAACAGAAAACAGGAAGCTGCACGGGAACACAAGGTACAAAGCTAAGCTGCTGAAAATCACTAATCTGTTCTTATAGAGTGCGTTGACCTAAATTAAAATAGAATTTTAATCAAACTTGGCCCTGGGCCTTTACGTTTCACCATTTCAGTGTGCAACGTATCACACAGAATATAATTCTTGTCAGGGTGGTAAATTGCATTAAACAGTATATTGTACACTGTAAAAAATATTTTACAGTGAAAAACTGTCAAACCATGACAGTAAAAGACTGTAAACCTTAAATAGGTTAAATGCAGTTTCTGTTACAGTAAAACACTGTCATATCTCATGGCAAAACCTTTATTTATGCAGCATTTTAAAGGAATTTACATGGAACAAAGTAGTTTGTTTTATATTACAGACTGTAAATTGCACAAACATTCATTCATTTCTCATGGTAAAACAGCTTCTGTTGATGGTAGAAACTTTTATTTATACAGTAAAATATGGAATAAAACTCCAACTTAGAATCAACAACACTAATGTCCTTTTCCCATAATAGTACCGTATTTATTCCAGTAAAGTTCAGACAACCACAGCTTCACAGATGGGCAGATAAAGCTCCACTGGAGGCCCCGGTAATGATATTGGATATGATCATTTTACATGGATTTGTTTGTTAATTGAAAGAAATCTTGTATAATTATGGACGTTCTCACATCAAATGATCAATGTATTAGCATTGGTAAACTGTCAAAATACAGTTGTTATCACTGAAAACAGCAATGATTTCTGTAATTCCACAGATGGTGACTTTTATTACAGTTCTGTAACTTTTACCATTCAGATCAAAATAAAAAAAATCTAATCATAACAGCACTCTGCTGTACATTTATTATAACAGTGTCATGTGTATATATCTAATATTTGAAAAACATTGAAAAGCCCAAAAATGACACTGGATTTTATGTGAAATTAAAGTTATTCCCTGTTATTTTGAAGGGAGCTGTCTGTCTACCTTTGTCAGTGGGCTCACTCAGAGCAAGTCTCAGGGAGATGTTGAGGACCCCTTGAAGAACACAGAGCAGGCCAAAGCTCAGCAGAACCACACTGACATGTCTTAACTCTGTATAACACACACACAGAAGATTTTAGCAACTCAATTCTTGTCCTGTTAATCAAAGAACACATCTGGTATTTGACATAAACACTAACACCAATACCTCAACCCACTTAAACAATCCGAATGTTCATTGTGTTATAAAATGTTGGAATAATCTCATGTGTACCCACTCAGTTTTGGAGCCCTCTCTGCAGCAGCATCCTCAGGTTCAGGTCTGGGGAATTCCTGATACTCGCCAAGTGCAACGCTGATATCAGACTCACTGGAGTGAAAGGACACAGCCATTTTGAAGCTGCTGCAGTGAGAAGGTGTGTTTTATGTCTGATGTTGTGCAGCACTTGTTCCTGTCTCTTGTGTACAGGAAGTATTGTCCCCCCAAGTGTTTCAAATAGACACATTTGTTCCTTTTTTGTGTGTGGCTATATTTATTAAAGAGAATAAAATGAGTATAGAAAACTATATTTCATTTTTTTTGGCTTTTTTTTGATAGGACAGGTGAAAAGACAGAATAAAAGGGGAGTATGAGAAAAAGCTAAACGCCCCGCAAGAAAGGACCTTGGTTGGGCCAGCTCTTCCCAAGCTAACCGGGCGCCCTGGTTTTTTCTCTTTTGACACAACATTTGCTTACAATTCAGTCGCTGAAGGATCTTCAAATCTTTACAGAATAGTATTGTGATAAAATCTTAATTAGTTCTGTGTGTAGTTGAAGAATAGATGCTTGGTGCATTTATGATTTATATTACAGAGAGCCCTTTATAGATTAAATTACATTTTACAAGTCCAGTGATGTCTTTAAAGAAAAAAAGGAGAGGAGAAAGGAGGGGGACTGTCTGTGCTCATAAACAACAGGTGGTGTAACGCCGGGCACGTCTGTGTGAAAGAGCGTCTGCAGCCCGGACATCGAGCTCGTCGCCATCGGACTTCGTCCATGTTATCTGCCACGGGAACTTTCCAGTGTTATCGCCATCACTGTCTATATTCCTCACAGTGGTCTTCATCATCATCATCATCACTGTCTATATTCCTCACAGTGGTCTTCATCATCACCATCACTGTTTACATTTATGATGTCTTATTTATTCTCCTGTACAGCACTTTGGTCAACTTTGGTTGTTTTTAAAGTGCCTAACAAATAAAGTTGGATTGGATTGGATTTATTAAGTTTCCCCATTTTCATTTTATGTTTGGAAAATCAGAGAAGTCACTGTTTTGATGACTTGCAACTCGATTGGAAAATGTGTGTGTACCATTTAAGGTCAGAAATGGTATTTTTCAATATAATTTTCCAATATATTCATTAGTGTTTAATCACCTGAAAACAAGAATACTTGTGTTTTAGTTACCGTAGAATGAGCTGTTTTTATCTACAGATCCTAAACCATGTTTTCACAGTAGCCCAGAAGGGACAAACCAAACACTGGCATTACGCAGCAGCCATCCATGGAGTTGTAATCTGCAACTATACCGCTGGATGCCACTAAATCCTACACAGAGGAACTGTATATTATACATCACAAGTATTAAAACATGAAACATTAAAAATGTTCAACGTAGTCAATGTTGAGGCGGCTGTGGCTCAGAGGCAGAGCGGGTCGTTCCCTAATCAAAAGGCTGTGGGTTCGATGCCACATGTCGAAGTATCCTTGAACAAGATACTGAACTCTGAATTGCTCCTGATGCCATGCATCGGTATGAATGCGTTAGTTTCTGTTGATGGGCTTTGCCATCACTGAGTGAATGTGTGTGAAAGGGTGAATGTGGCACGTAGTGTAAAAGCACTTTGAGTGATCGGAAGACTAGAAAGGCGCTATACAAGTACAGGTCCATTTAACATCACAAGTGTCTGTTAGAGTCTGTATATGTCATCTGATAGGAGCCAATATGAAGCTCTTTTTCTTGTATATAATGCAAAGGGCTGTTTAGCTATTATTTCAATTATTGAGTGTTCATTTCTATAATTGGCTGACAATGTAAATTATTGAACATGAATATTTAACTGTAATATTCTTTGTCATTTGTCTTAGAAAGCAGCCTTCTGAGTACCTTTGAATAGTCGTAAAGAAACCAGTCTATGTTCATTCAGCTGAAAAATTCACTATATCAGGGGCCATGTCAGTAATTAGTTCATTTTTCTCCTCTAAAATTGTTTGTCTGTGTAACGTGACTTGAGACAAATTGGGATATCATTCCGGGTTTCCTGACTGCCTCACGTTTCAGTATTTAAATCCCAGCTGAAGATAACTGAATCTAAAGGGAGGCTTGCTAATTAAATTGTGTTTTATTCACTATTCTTTGTTTCTTCATGTTCCATTTTAACTCTGTGTGTGTTGTTGAGCAAAGCTTAAGGAAGAGCGTGAACAAAGCTTAAGGAAGAGCGTGAACACAGCGGCAGCTTTACTCAATTGTGTGACACAAACATGTTACAAGAGAAATGTTACAAGAGAAACGTGTCTCAACATACTGGCGTACATCTTACACAGGACATTTATTTCTCATCGAATGAGCAAAGCATTCTGGTACAAAGACATACAGCAGATATACATTATCACATATGAGTGACAATGACTTGTCCTGGTTTCAATTCCAGCCACTAAAAAAAAGAAAAAAGTCTGTATTTGTGTGGGAGGCAGATTTCAGTACAATAATACAACTTTCCACATCTATTCGTTAATTTTAACAAAAGCTACAGCAGTCCTTGAAGGCCTACATAACATGTAGTCGTTACTGTATCTAGACTGAAAACCATTATATTGCTCCCCCATTCTTGGTAGACGTGACTGTATAAAGGAATGTATTTAGAACTAACACAAGAGACAGGACCAGAACACAAAGGGATACACTTAAAGCAGGGCTCCCTGACCTTTCTGAGAGTGAGGCCTACCTAAAAGGAGAACACAGTGGGAAGGGCTACTCTGTGTACTTGATGCTTCTGATGGTGTGTATTTTCAACATCTCAATTGCCCCCTGGTGGCTGGTTTGGTTTGAATGAGTTACGTGAAACTATAAAAAGGGGTTTTCACGTCATGAGTCAGAGCTGAGCTCTGCTTGCAACTGAGTCTGCTGGGCATATAGGCGGGACTCTGATACTATGGCACCAACCCCAATCACTACTGCGCAGACTCTGGCTCCGAATGACATCACCAGCATGAGATGTTAGCGGCGGTATCTGAGATATTTAAGCTTCATTTTTATACAGTGGGAGGGAGTAGAGATATGTTAACAGGTTCACTAAACAATGAATATCAGCCTGCTGCAGTGTTTCAGTCTGTGTGTCTGAGCCATTTGACAACTGAGTAAGAAAATGTCTGTAGCTGTTGGAAAAACAGATTTTAAATAATATCTAAAAACATCAGTGGTCGTGGAGTATGTGGTTGGACACATCTCTTCCCTCACACGGCTGGAGGCAGGAGGGGTGTCTACATCACTGAGGAGGAGGATGAGGAGGTGGGGGAGGAGGAGGGAGGTCAGAGAAGGGGACAGAGTTAGGCGGCCAGAGAGGGGAAGAGAAAGATGGGTTGAAAAAAGCAGGAGGAGGGGGGTAGAGAGGGAAGTTGGGTGGGGGAAACGGGTGAGGAGGCGGAGGAGGGTAAGGGCAGGGAGGGGGGGAGGTACATGGGAAGGACGTTGGTGTGTCTGGGCGGTGGGTGTATGTGTCTGGGTGGAGCGTGTGTGTGTTTGAATGGTAGATGTTGATTCCTCGGGTTCTGGTGCCTGAACGGAGGCCCTGCGTGTCTTGGTGGGAAAACCCTGACATCTCGCTGCTGCTGCAAGGTATTCTGGGTAATGTGGGTAGGATTTTCTGGAGGAAAAAAAACAAAAAACAGATGGGTGGGTGGATGTCATATTCTATTCTACTTTCACCTTTAGACTTGTAACACATTCCAAGCTTAGCTTCATTCAGACACACATGTGGAGCTCCTGTTTGTGTGTGTGTACCTGCATTGTTACTGTCCCTCTTCTTTTTGGAGTTTTTCCCTTTCCTCTTAGCTTCCTGCTCTTTCTCGTCATCACTATAATCTAAAGCCTGGAGAGAGGAGACAGAGGTGAGTTCAAAATATTTGCAGTTACAGCCATCACTTTCTTCAGATGTACTTTATCTGATTCCACTTCTGTGGGTGTGCTTACCTCCGCTGGCGGTTCTTGGTCATTCTTCCAGGAAGCATCAGATCCCTTTAAACTGAAGGGTGAAGCATTTCATTACATTAGTTAGTAGGTTGAAAACATACCAAAAGTGACTACTACACAGCAAGCTAAAGAAGTAATGAGTGGATTTTTTTTTTTTTTTTTTAACTATATTTTTGGGGCTTTTATTGCCTTTTATAATAGATATAGCTGAAGATAGACAGGAAAGGGGGGCAGAGAGAGGGGATGACACGCAGCAAAGGGCCGCAGGTCGGATTCGAACCCTTGGCCGCTGCAGCAAGGACTCTCGCTACGTGGGTCGCCAGCTCTACCCACTGAGCCACTTGGGCGCCCAAAAGTGTATTTGTCTTTAAAGTTGCAGTGTAGAACTTTGTCTCCCTCGCAATGAGAGGAAAAGCTGAAACACGTCGCTGCCAAAACAGTGCCGGCACCCTTGGATGCTCTGCCCCATGTCACTTTACGCCACTGTCCTAGTCCCAGCATCGGCGTATCTGAAAAATAGACCCCCTACTTGTACGCTCAGGCTCCAGTAGAATCCAAATCTGGGTGAACTATTTAAGACAGACTTTTCTGGACAGACTGGGCTTCTTCTACTGCAGAGCAGGTGGGCCCTTTTGGTTCAAAATGCATCAATACTGGTGCTCCAGTGTGGGAAAGTCACCACTAGTGATGGGAATTGCAGCTCTTTTTACTGAGCTGGATCATTTGGCTGATTCAGCCAAATTTAGCAATGTGTGACCTATGATTGGTATCTGTGCCCATATATCACTATTTCCATACACCATTATTCCATGTAGCCTATACGCTAAACCTCATCATTTCCCCAATACAATCATTTCACATTATGTCTGGTATAAAAACCTTAAACAATGTAAAAACATCACGTGTATTTAACGTTGAACAATGTTTTGTATGTTGGCGACAGGTGCAACATACAAAAGTCTCACCCTGCTTTGGTCTTAATTTTGCTACAAGGGATCAGTTCTCAACTGTCTATCAGTGCCAATAACTGATCGGATCAGCTTTCATGCACGGAGCAGAGGTGGAGAGCTGACACAACCACACGCAGAGGGTTTGCGATTTTATACTTGTAAAAAAAAAAAAACTATTAAAAAACATTTAAGGAACAGTTTCGATGCACGCATTTGTTTTCTTAATGCAATGCAGAGCTCTCCAATTGTCAAGCATGTACATTAGATTGATTTTAATGACTTTAATGTACTTGAAGAGTGCACTGGATTGTCTAAAAAAAATACTCAATTTTAAAAGACTTAATGCTGGTTCTGATAGAAAGGTGTCAGAACACGGTGCAGAGTAGTCTGTTAGTATGGGGCTGCAGAACATTGTGACCACCAGGGTGCCCAGGTGATAACAATGTTATGGCTGATCGGAGTATAATTATTGCCAAAGTGAAACGTTTCTGGATTGATTCTGACTAATATAGGATCAGCTTTATTCTGTCACAAATTTCTTAAAAAGTAAAGAAAAAAGAAACTGTGTCTCAGACAGGAGGGCTTGAATGTAACAGACGTTCATTTATATGGAAAAGTCCCACACTCAAGCTTTAATGTGTGTGTGTGTGTGTGTACTTACAGTTTGAGCTGTTGAGTGAGGATATATTCTGTGTACTCTTTAATGGTTGGTGCGTAATAAACAGTCAGTCCCTCTGTCAGCCCCTTGCTGCTGATCTGCTCTGCAGAGTTAAATCGCAAAATATACAGCGGGTTGGACACCGGACCAAACACTTCAAACACCTGGAACACAAAAACAACGTTACAGAAACCAACAAGACACACACGGACAGGAACACCTCTTTACACAGAGCAGACAGACAGCCTCTGCTGGTCCACCCACCTTGCCCACAGCCAACCCATCAGATCTAAAGATGATGCTGTCATCATTCAGAGGGGGCGTGTCTTTCAGAGACTGGATGACGACTGCAGACAGAAAGAGCGTTAAAAGCCTGCACGTAAATTGTTCCAAATCAGACAGTAAACACTGAACGCCTGTGTGTGTGTGTGTGTGTGTGTTGGTGTGTGTGTGTGTGTGTGTGTGTTTACCAAGCTGCTGTATAATACTGGAGACCGTTCCTACAGGTTGCAGTTCTGCATCTTCTGGTAACGACACACTCACCTCCTCCACCGCGGGCAGCTCCTGCACACAAACATTATGTTACGTTAGCTTCTAACAGTGGAAAGGTTGATTTCTTTTGGAGGTTTATTTTGGACAGTATTTTATATTGTGTACATCTGCTTGTGTTTAGACAGCATTTAACATTTGAGAACTTTCTTTTTCCGTTGCTTCAGAAAAGGTCTTCAGAGAGCAGCACTAAAAAGGGTTGTTTCAGAATTGATACTGAAAGTCAGGCATTGTATAGGCAATGGCACAAAATGTGAACAGCCCTGATGCTCCATCTGCCATCTTTTCCTACTTCTTCCATCATGGCAACTGAATAAGAGTCAAAGATTTCTTATCCAGGCTCCAAAATGAACAACTGCCAAGCGCCAAAGAGTCTGTACCAAGTGTGTGCAGCTTCTGTTCTCTACTACAGTGGTCCAGCCTGGGGGTCGGGACCCCCACTAAGGGTCACCAAAGCTTCAAAGGGGGTTGTTAGGCTTTCTTGATTTTAAGGGACCTAAGGAAATTTTAAAAATACACACAGTAGGCCTATATTTCAGCATGTAGTTCACTTCTATGAAGAAAATTGTACTTCCTAAAACAGGAAATGAGGAAACCCACCTGTGAGCAATATTGACAGGAAATAATCAGCTCAAAATACATCCAAACTGCTCAGTTGTTGTGTTCACTATTTGGGTTCATTGTACAGTCAGCTGTTCTGTGCTGTTATTGTTATGCAATGATTATGACTTGAAATATCCATAAAAAGCATCACATAGTCAGGGCTTACTAAATGACAGACACAGGCTCCCTTAAGGAAAGAGGTTGGGGACCACTGCTCTACTATCTGTGCTGGAGTTTGACAACCACACACTACCATATGTGTTTTTATGTGTCTAGACAGTGCTGCAAAAACTGACTGTCATGAGCACTCCCAGTTTTAATCAAATGTACTGAAACTAATGGATACATGCCAGCAAAAACGTACCTGGCCAGTGTATGTTTTTTAAATCGTTTCATATTTCACATCTGTCAATGAAACAGGCTCAGTGTTGTAGTTCTGAATGCAGAGTTCCCACTCTTATTAAGAAATCACTTTCCCGGAAGACATATTCTAGGAGTTTTTCTTGACATCATAGGACAGCACTTATTCCCACAGGTGGTCTGTGTTTATGGGACACTTTCATGGTACGCATGGCTGTTCTCACTACAGTACAAATCAAGTAGAGTTTCTACATTTCCAGATTTTCCAGGACGTGTGGGAACCCTGGGATGGAATTAGCAATAGGGGCTTAGCAGAAAATACTTGAGCTCTCTCTCCTCAAACATTCTATACAGTGCAGTAACAGGTAGGGCGAGCACTCTTCATCCAAACATCCAATCACTGACTGACCTCGAGCAGGACTTCATCTCTGGTCTTGATGGGGGCCGGTTGGCTGAAACCTTCATCGTCGTCATCTTCCCCGATCACAGGGGCAGAGGGAGAGGAGGATGAGGAGGAAGATGTTGATGAAGACGACGAGGAAGAGCTGTCACTGAGGACAGGAGAGGAAGAGCGTCAAAGTCGGTCACTGGTTTCCATTCTGCTTCCTGCCCAGCACTTTACCACCATCAAAAACAAGCATAATTGGTTTAAAAACATCAATAACAAGCCTTTTGTCAAATGGTTGTGTGAATACCTGTCTGAATCCTCTGAATCTTCATCATCATCATCACACTCCTCTGTCTTACACACACTGTCTAGAGACTGCGTTGCTGCTGCTGAGTTTGTGTGTACGTCTCCTGCTTCCTCTGGATCAGTCTGTGTATTTGTATTTGATGATGTGTCTGCATCGTCAAGGGCAACGGTGAGAGGTTCTAGTTGTGTTGTCGTGGTGACCTCCATCTCTTCTTCATCCTCCTTGCGCACTGGCGGCGTCTGTCCGTTCTCCTCTGGTAGTTTCTCATCCATCTGAAATGCAACAAAGTCCCTGAGACAGGTCTTCAGGTACAATGTGGAATTATCAGGTCACTTTAACTGCCACTGTGTCCCGACAGTACCCGAGACATATTCTGGCTCCTCCCAGTGCTCCTAATGGCATTTACAAGGATCCACCAGACCTGAAAGAAAACAACCAATCAGAGCAGAGAAAGCTAGAAACATGCTTTGGATTGGAAGCCTGAAGATAGTTGATTGTTGAGTCTCATTGCCAGTGTGCCAGAATATTTGATTCCTGGGATTGAGACTCAACGATCAACTAACGTTATCTTTCTCTGCTCTGATTGGTCGTTTTCGTCTGAGCCCGGTAGGAGGAGCCAGAGGACCCAGATTGTTTCACACATTATCTGTCCCGTGTACTACTGCCAGGATATAGTGGACGTTTCAGTGAATGACAAAAATATAGAGATTATTCTAAAAGTTAGGTACTACAGCTTTAATTCTCCACTGTGTGTCTTATCAGAGAAAATGGCAGCCCCGAGTTTGACTACCTGTAACACGTTTTCTCCATTTTCTGTTAAACTAACCAACGTATGTCACCTTTCACAACTCAATTCGTTTAAAACCAAAATGTCTCTTTATAAGGTCGACACGCACGTTAAATAAAAGTACGGACGAACGTAAAAACAGAACAAAAACCGCAATTTAACGCTACATCAACGCTAGCTAACTAGCTAGCTAAGGAGCTAACAGCGTTGGATTTAAGTTAGGATCCGGGTTCAACAGTCGCGAGCCAGCACGACCCCACACACACTGCTGTTCAACGAGTCCAAAGAACAACACGTGGACAGTGACAGTGTTCTCTTCCACATCGTTACCTGTTGGTTGGTGAAGCTGCTGGACCCGTACTGCACACTACCTCACGAACCAACGTTAACGTACTAACGACAAAGCCACAGCAGAGCGACCCAAACCACTTCCGTTATCAACCTTTAAAACAAAAGCACCATGACGGTTGAATAATCACTGCTGAACACTTCACACTGCGATGGAAACACACACTGAGCCTTTACACCGAGGGACTTTGTCGTTTTGTTTTACAGGTGATTTTATTTGATATTTTTCACAACATATACTAGCCTCTTAATAAACGCATTCGGTAGGTGTATGCCGTTATTTATAAGTCAATAAGAAAAACACATTAATAATAATAATAATAATAATAATTCACATTGTATGACCATACATAATATGGAATTATATTACATATATAAACTCTACATTCATTGTAAACTACTTTGTTTTGATGTTCGCACACACTATACCAACAATGTCTACCAAACGTCTTATTTTGAAGGCATAATTATTCAATTCCGGTCGTCATCGGTTCTCTCTGTGAGCTTAACGCAGAGTAGACCCGCACACAACACGTGGGGTTATGTTTTTCCGGGTGCGCGCAAGCCTGTTGCGCAGTCTAAACTGCTCGCAACTTGCGAAGAAAAACGACCTCCATAGTTTAAGAAAAATAGGTTTCAAGATAGTAATGCTGTTTATGCCAAATTCCTAGCGTACCTATGTTATGTAACTTAAAAACAATAGACCATTTATTTCTAGGGAGGCGAGGAAATGAGTCATCCTCAACATTTGCAAGTAAAAGAATACATTAAAATGTTTACTGAACTAGAAAGCTTTTCAGGCAAATGTATTAAAGTGAGTAAATTATTATCATTATCATATTAATCAGAGCCTTGTTGTCGTTCACTGTAAAATCGGATAAGTTAATTTAACTCAAACAATTGTGGAAACTGATATTAAGTAAATATATGTTTTGTAGGTTAAAATGCTGCTTAATCAAGAATCATTTTAATTTACAAAACAGAGTTTGGATGACCTAAAAGTTTGGGTGGTACTGTTGGGTCTCTGTAAATAATGTTATAAAGAGTTCGGTCTAGACCTGCTCTATTTGAAAAGTGTCCTGAGATAACTTCTGTTAGGAATTGGCGCTATACAAATAAAACTGAATTGAAATGAATTGAATCAGTATCGACATATACTGCAGCCTATGTTAAATGAGGGAGTGCAGGATGCAAGTAGAATTTCACTTTATCAAACATGACCACTAGGTGGCAGCACAATCTTGTTTATGATAGCAAGGAGTCTGGGTCATGTGGACTGAAAAAGGTTTGAATCTTTTCATAAAATACAGCTATTTGATCTGAACTAATGTTATGTTTGTAATCAAATAGTTTGTTTATTTGTTTGTTGTTTGTGTATATTCTGTGAAAAGCACAGTTTTGGTGTTCAAGTCTGTGATCCGTTTAGAAGTGAAGCCAGCAGCGGAGGGGAAATTAACACCACACACTGATGGATTTGGGGATGTGGAGTGTGTGCATTCTGTGTGGTTGAGCAACTGTCCCACTCCAAGAAATATGTTAAAACCTTTTGTTTTTGTCTGGTTTTTGCTTCCGAGCAGCCAAACTGTGGTTGACTGCTGTTAAACCTCTCAGTTTTCAAAATGTCCCTTCATAACCTTTCCTTGGCTGAACGTCTGCACAAGCCTCTGCCGTCAAATGTTCCTAATCTGCAAGGGAATGACATTTCTAATCATACTCATTTCTCTTTCTTAACAGCTTGTTTTATGTCAGAAACCCCAGTTTCATGTATCATTTGCAAGTGAGCTTCCTAATCACTGACGATCTTTTGGAATACAAGTTTTCCACCTGGCAGCAGGGTCAAATAAATACCACATCAAATCAGCTGATGCTGGCTCCTGAATGGCCATATTGTTATTGAGCTAATCAACTGGCACCAGCACAGTGCCACTATTTTATTTCAAAGCCGGTTCTTACATCAAACAACACTTCTCAATGCCTCAAAGGAGGACTGCTGTGCACCAATCGGTGTTGGGTTTGAAGACAATATGTCATAAATGGCCACAGTCTTACGTCAGCACTGAGAATAATTGTAAGAGAACCCCAGTAGGATTCAAATTTGCATGTATCAAAGGAGTTGAGAAATGTGCTTTTGTTGATGGTGTGTATGACTCACCTCACCAGAACGCTTTGCTAGACTTACACTGCACTTTAAAAAACAACAACAAAAAAACTATAATATTCCAGCACCTCGGCACCAAAAAAAATACTGTAAAATAACAGAAAATAACTGACTCATTTTCTATTTTCTATTTTCTAAAATTTAGAGTAAAAGTAATTTTCTATGATTAAAATTCAGTTTTAGCTTTAGCATTTTTGGGCTTTTTTAAATATTTAAGTAAACATATTTACACATGCAAAAAACAATGAATAAATACAGGCCAACACTGCTACTACAGGAGAGTTCTGTTGTAGATTTTTATTTAATATGAATTTTAAAAGTTAGAGAACTGTAATAAAAGTCACCATCTGTGAAATTACAGTAATTATTGTTGTTTTCAGTGTTAAAAACTGTATCTTGACAGATTGCCAATGCTTATACACTGATAAAAAAACATATATCCATGTAAAATTACAGAACAAATACTTTTTTGACCTACTAATTGTCTAATTTACATCATTTTAGAAATGTATTAACAGTATTAAACTTGAATTTAACAGTTTAATCTATTAAATTAACAGTAAATATCTGCGAAAAAATTATAGACTCGCAAATGTATTTTGACAAATGTTCTTTTCATGTGAAAAAATGTAAACGTACAGATGTTTTTTACAGTGTGGTGTGTGTGTTCAGCTGGAAGTGGAGCACCAATACGTCCCATTGAGGTACTGCCACTGTGTCCCATGATATTTCCTATAATAACATTGTGTGAGCCAAGCCTCTAAGACTGCATTCCCATTGTTCCACAGGACAAAGAGAAAGCAGAACTTCACAGCGGAGAAATTCCTAATGTGCACACTCAAATGAAACCTTGAAAACCTTTGTTTTGCTGCACAGAAACCAATCCAACTCATTTGTCCTGGTGGCTCAGGAGACTGAGCAGGACATTTAGCTCACACTGTGGTGTCACTGATGGTTTACTGTATGACAGTTGTTCGGTTCGTCCCACCTGTTTTCCTCTGGGTATGCAAAACTGTACAAAAATGGGTAACACTTTATAATGAGTACACACTATTAAGCATTAGTTAAGCATGAATAAATAATGAATTCATCATTTATAACGCATGAATACACATTAGTATGTAGTTTATAAACACAGTTAAAAATGTTTTATTCATCATTGATAAGCACATTAGTTATGGATTAGTAAATACTGAATTCATCATTTATAAAGCATGATTCTGCTGTAAATAGTCATTACTATGTGGTTTATAATCACAGTTATAAATGTTTTACTCTTCATTGTACTGTACATTTCTGCATGCACTTGCACATCCACTATTCAGACATGTATTAATGATTAGTGACTGTGTTAGCAGATGTTCTATAAAACCTCACAACAAATTCATTTTCTAATGATGGCCTATAAACAGTTATTAATGCAGGAATTCACAGTTACAAATGGTAAATGGGAAATGACCTATATAGCGCCTCTAGTCTTCCGACCACCAAGCTTTTACACTATGTGCCACATTCACCCTTCACACACATTCACCAGTGATGGCAAATCCAGAACAGAAACAACATTCACACACTCACACACCGAGCACGCGGAGCATGGGTTCAGTATCTTGCTCAAGGATACTTCACATGTGGCACCAGGAGCCGGGTTGAACCCACAACCTTCCGACTGAGGAACGACCTGCTCGCCCCCCAAAGCACTTACTACTCGTTAATTAAGTATTTTGTGCGAGCTTATCTAAAGTGTGCACTATCTATGGTTTATTAAGGATTTACAAATGAGATATAAAGGCTGACAATGTCTCGAGACTCACAAAATGTTCAGTTATCTTAACAGACGAAGGAGAGACACAACACAAAGGGATATAGAACATATTGTATTGATATTTACTGCAACTTCCCAACATATTGTATGAAGACGAACAAGGGTGGTTTATGAAGACATGCTATTGTTGTGATCTTCTCTGTTTGGGACGTGTACGTTGAGCTCCCGCTCTCAGCACGTCATCAACGTGATGACGTGCTGTTACGTCATATTTACGTTAACTCTCAGAAGTTTCTGACAGTGCAGCCAAGGGGAGCATGGAGAAGCACATTGGAGTCGGCGGCCGTCAGCGGCACTAGTGGTGAGTATGTGTCTTTGTTTGGTAGCCCACATTATGGTTGAAAGCTAACGTTAGCTTGTCTCTTGACACTAATGTTACTAACGTTACCGACCCGCCCGCGGTGGCTAAGCCGACCTAGTCTAGTCTCGTTTAGCCGGGCGAGGTGAGTGCCTAGCAGCGGCAGGTCGGTTTAGCCACCGCGGGCGGGTCGGTAACGTTAGTAACGTCAGTAACGTTAGTCGGGGAGCGAGGGCAAACACCTGCAGCTGCTGACAAGCTAACGTTAGCTTTCAACCATAATGTGTGCTACCAAACAAAGACACATACTCTCCACTAGTGCCGCTGACGGCCGCCGACTCCAATGTGCTTCTCCATGCTCCCCTTGGCTGCACTGTCAGAAACTTCTGAGAGTTAACGTAAATATGACGTAACAGCCCGCTAATGCTAATCTGCTAACACAGTCACTAATCATTAATACATGTCTGAATAGTGGATGTGCAAGTGCATGCAGAAATGTACAGTACAATGAAGAGTAAAACATTTATAACTGTGATTATAAACCACATAGTAATGACTATTTACAGCAGAATCATGCTTTATAAATGATGAATTCAGTATTTACTAATCCATAACTAATGTGCTTATCAATGATGAATAAAACATTTTAATTGTGTTTATAAACTACATACTAATGTGTATTCATGCGTTATAAATGATGAATTCAGTATTTATTCATGCTTAACTAATGCTTAATAGTGTGTACTCATTATAAAGTGTTACCCAAAAATAAAATAAATGAATGCAGAATATCAAGGCCACTCTGATACTGCCTGTTTGCCTGGGTTTGAATCCCAGCTGGGGCAGGGGCCTTTCTGTATGGAGGTTCGATGTTCTACCATCAAAACATGTATTTCAGGTTAATTCTCAGGGGCAGTTAGTGTCCTTGACCAAGGCATTGGCTCAGACCTAGAGTTGGTCCCCAGGCACTGCACAGTGACTGCCCACTGCTCCTAGTGCTATAGGTCAAATGCAGAGAAAGAAACATTCTTAAAATCAAGAAGGCCTCGCAAAGGCCCCATGAAGCTTTGGTGACCCCTAGTGGGGGTCCAGACCCCCAGGTTGGGAACCACTCGCTTAAAACAAGGTCTGAACCCATGAGGATAAACCTCACAGCAGCTGTCAAATATGTTTTTTTATTTATTTTTTTAGCCAAAAAAAGTGAGGATAAAGTGCTCTTCCGTAGAGTTGTGACGTTCACGAACAAACCGAATCTATTGAACGGCTCCTTAACATGAACGATGGGAACCGAGTCGCAGTTGAGGGCCGTTCTTTTTCTTTCGTTCTTTTTTTTTTTTTTAAATCGCTGTCACGCACACAGCATGCGCACACAAGCTCCTCCTGCTACTCCACTGAGACGGAGAGCATGCACAACAAGGAGAGGAGTGCAGCAGAGTACACATGGGGTGGCAATTTGATATGCAAATTTCACATGACCTCATCTGAGTTGTCCGACACAGTGGCACACGGCCTCCACGTGAGTGCGGAGTGTCAGTACTGCAGCTATGAGTCAAAGGAAGCGCAGCAGCATTTGGATGCACTTTTCGGATGAAAAGAACGGCAAAGCAAAATGTAACATATGCCAAAATAATATTTCTTTCAAGTCTGGGTCAACAAACAATTTGCATCGCCATTTAAAAACGCAACACCCGACAGTCAAAGTGGCGGAGGGAAGAAGAGGACCAACTGATGATGGCGACGATGAAGTCTCCATCACTGAAACCGCCACTGCTTCTTCTGCCTCTACATCAGGTGTTAGACGTCAAGCCACTATCACTGTAGCTTCAGCTACTGCAGCACTCAGCGCTACCTCTGATACCACTGGGCCCACATCGTTGCCTGGCCAGGCACATAGCTCTAGTCAAACCATGCCTGCTACCACAAGACCAAAAACAAGACACATCTCTCAGTAAAACTTTGCATCACCTACCTTGACCCCATTGAGACAGGCAAAGATAGATGAAGAGCTTGCAAAAATGATAGCCACTGACTTCCAACCATTTAAAATTGTGGAAGACAAAGGATTAAAAAAATTCTGCAGTGCTCTCAACCCCTCCTACACTCCTCCATGTAGGAGGGTACTAACCCAGAAAGTTTGTGAGATGTATGAGAGAGAAGCAGCATCACTTAGGACAAGGCTGTCCAAAGCGTCAGCAGTTTGCCTAACAACAGATTGTTGGATGTCAAGGGTTACAACCTCATTCATGTCTGTAACATGCCACTTTATTGAAGATTTCCACATGTCCTCCTGCCTATTAGACTGTTTTGAATTCATTGAGCGGCACACAGTAGACAACCTGGCAACCAAGCTTCTCAGTGTTGCGGCAGAGTGGGAGGTCGATAAGAAAGTGGTGTGCTGCTTAACTGACAATGCTGCAAACATCACAAAGGCTATTCAAATAACAGGATGGACCCACCTTCCATGCCGGGCACATACGATTAATCTTGTGGTAGGAGATGCCCTCAAAGGTCCACAACCCATCATCGATAAAGTTAAAGAGGCAGTCGAATACTTTCATACAGGCACAGTGGGTGCACAATAACTGAAGGAAACACAGCTCCAAATGAAGATGGATCAACTATGACCCAAACAGGACTGTGTCACAAGATGGAACTCAACATATTACACGTTGCAGAGTTTTATGACAAATAAGAACCCCATCGTCTCCACCCTGGCCATCACCAATGCACTGACTGTAGTGCAGGAGATGTGCACCATCTGAAAGCCGTTTGAAGAGGTCACTGTTGAACTGCAAGTGCAGAAAGGTATGTAGTTCAGCTGGTCAGTGGTAGATTTCTATAGCATCCATGATAATGACCTGATACTTATGAATATTTAAAACCATAATAGATACCTAATAAATAAATGCGTAATAAATTGTGACATGTATCATTGTTGGTATAACTTTATAATTGTATTATTATAATAATATTCATATTTTTCTCAATAGCTACATGACTGCCTCCAAGGTTATACTGCTGGCCAGGGGACTGCAGAGAGCCACGACAGATTTCCAGAGGAGGGCAACAACACAGGCAGCAAAAGACATGGTCAACTCTCTGTGTTCAAGCATGTCAGCTAGATTGCGCAGAATGGATGCCAACCACACCCTGGCAGATGCTGGCAAGGATGGCATTCATGGATGGTAGATCTGCAGACGAGGCTTTCCAGAGAATATCAACTGCAGCAGCAAGACTCACTCTAAGCAGCAGCGAACCCATCCACCAACCAATCCAAGGGGAAGGAGCAGGCAGTGCTGCACCAGAATCAGTTGTTTGGAGCTATTTCCATGAGCAGGTAAGGGTGGCAAAAAGAAATCACAATTTTTTTCTCCAAATCTTGGACGATGTCAGTCTAATATCACAATCTCATTATAAAATTGTTTTATCTCCCACCCCATTGTTATATCTCCCACCTCTATGAGCAGGTAGCTGGAACAGTGCCAATTGGAACCAGGAATCCCACAGCAGATGCCATCATGGAGGTGCAGGCTTACCTATAGGAGCCTCTTGTTCCAAAAAACGAGGATCCTCTGGAGTGGTGGAATAGTTGGGCCCACGTGTACCCCAGGCTTAGCAAGCTCATGGCTAAGAGGCTTTGCGTTGTGGCGACATCAGTTCCATCTGAGAGAATATCCTCCAAGACTGGACAAATAATCTCAGAGAGAAGAAGTTGCCTCAAGCCTGCAAAAGTGAGATCACTTGTGTTCCTCAATGCAAATTTGCCAAAGGACAAGGAGAGCCAGAAGAAGCCATAAAGCATGAAACGGCTTTATTATTTCAGAGCTGTCATTTATTTTGTTTACACTTTATTTTGTTGTTTACAGTGAGTTTTTCTATCTTTCTAAAAATATTGTTTACTAAAATTTGCACTAATGTTACCAAGGACAGTTCAGGAGTCCTCTGCAGGGTTATACTTGAACCTTGTTTTGTAAAAGCTTTTCTATATTAATATATTTTTAGTTTAGTATAGTTTTGCATGGAAGTTCATTGTAGCCTGCTTAGTTTTTTATTGTGCCACAAATAAAGAGGTGTTGCATGATTAACAAGTCAAAAGAGCTTTATTTACACCAAGAGACATTTTATACAAAGATCCAAAATAGTGATCTCACTCTCAAAGCAGAGGGATATAGCGCCACCTTGTGGAATGTTTACAATGAATGCAGATCAGACCTTAAAATCTAGTCCACACATGTCAAATGAAATTATAATCAATATTTCAAAATAATTCAAACTCAGATATGTCTAAGTTTGAATTATTCTGATCCAAACCTTACCCTATCATTCCTCCCAGTGATTATTTCCCAGATAAAATGGGTTACCCCCAGGCTAGATTCTTAAAAATAAATAAATATAAAAATGAGCCAGTCTTTTGAGCGGCTCTTTGAAAGGAACGGCTTCTCAAAGAGCCATAAATCCCATCTCTACTCTTTCGGTTGTTAACCCTAATCAACCTAAGCTGTTTTACAATAAAAGCATCACACATTGTTCTTTGTTGAACTGATTAAGTTTGATAATAATTTGCACTATATTCACCAAAGTAGTTTACATTAGTTTGTAATAAACAATTAAAATTATATATTTATGTATTCATTTTAAGCAGAAATTTGGGTTCAGCTCAGGCAGAGAACATTTGGTGAAACGTTCACTCTACCCTGACAGAACATGACAATCTGTGTTCTGGCTCTTCCTAATACTCCTAATGGCATTTGCAAGAATCCACCGGGCCTAAACAAAAACAACGATTTAGAGCCAAGAAGGAACCAGAATTTTTCACAGATTATTTGTCTCATGTACTGCTGTCAGGATATAGTGAAAGTTTCAGCAAATATGACAAAAATATATTTTTATTAAAATTACCTACTGCCACTTCAAAACCCATTCAAAAAACCCACTGACTTCGATTGAGGTAACCAGAAGTGCTAAAATGCTAAAAGTTTTTCAGGATTTCTACAGCACTCTATACAGAAACAGAGAGAAGACATGTCTTGGTTTGACATAGAACGTAGCCTACTCCACTCTGCCGGCACAGTTCTTCAAACATCTCTTTTTTCCTGTTGCGATCCATTCAACCTGAGCCTGTTTGTGTTTTGACAGTAGGTATACAGGGGAATTGAACTTGCGTCTCTAAGGGGCCACAGGATGTGCTTGCTGGTCATAAAGGCAGCAGGTGTTGTTTTGGGATTGACACACACACACACACACACACACACACACACACACACACACACACACACACACACACACACACACACACACACACACACACACACACACACACACACAGCAGGTGTTGTTTGTCAGAGACTATTCTTCTTTTTAACGGTCTAAATGTCACTCATTGTGTCACACATGACAAACAGAATACACTCACTGCAGCTCCACTGTGACACATCCGTATGTCAGAGAAAATTCCTAAAATTCTTGTTGTTGCTGTTGATGTGTCATTTCCACATTTCCTCCCACGGGTGACAAGTTTCAGCTGTATACATGAGAACAAAGAGTCTAAGCTACAGCCTCAAACACCCAGGAGAAAACTTGATTTAAAGCAGACTGTAAAACGGTAACTCTCAAGATTTTGATGTAATCAATTTCAATAATGTTTTGAGTTAAATGAATCTGGTTTTACACTGTAAAAAAATGACTAATTTGTATGATGTAGTGTTGAGGAAGAACTGAACAATCTAACAATCAAATGTGAGTGTTCTAAATATTGAGTGGGATGTTGGATGATCCCCTACACCCCCCTTGAAATATGCGCCTATGCCCAGCCTTCATGTAGATGATTATTCATGATTGAACAAACTGTGACTGTAAATGGCTTCCAACTATCCAAACGTACACTGCTGTCCTCAGAAAAGAAACTGAGACAGAAAGAGGACTAAGGGTGTTTGACCCACATAGACTAAAGACTGAGGGGGTTTCCAGATTTAGCAAGCACAAGAATACGCATGTGTGTGGGTGTGTGTGTGTGTGTGTGTAGGCTGGTGTCTCCAAAAGGATTACTGACAAGACCTGGAAAAGGGCCCTAAAAGTGCTTTAGCTGTTGAGATACCCCTACTGGAGGTAGAACAAAAGCACAACAATTTTTATATTCTCCAAGGTATCGCATATATGAAATGGATTCTTGTATGAAAATATTCTACTGCAAAAGTGATAAAACTGACAGATATTGTGATAGATAGTGAACAAAACAAGTGCCAAATAAAGCCAGGCCGAATGGGAGATGATACACCTTAACTCATGTCATTTCATAATGCAAGCTCTGATTGATTAACAGGCCTGGGAAAATCAAATCCTCAATAACACACACATGCAGTTTGTGCAAAAAGGTGAGAAAACTCATAATCAAGGGGGCAATCCCCCCCAGCAAACTCATGTAAGTGGAACATTTTAATTTTCAAAACTTGAAAGTTTGAGTTTGACTTAAAACAAAAAAATCATGGCGGTTCAACATAGTGGACCCCATGGAAGGCCACCCGCAATGTCTGTAGATAAAAACGGCTCATTCTAAGGTAACAAAAACACAACAACTTTTTCACAATTATTGTCACTAATGAAAACATAGTATATTCCATTTCTACCTATATGTTGCACACTGGACCTTTAAGACCTTATACAACTTTTGTTAGCCTGTTTACAACTCAACATGGTCCTTAATGTGCAATTATGTTGTGGGTGTATGTAAGCCTAGAATAATAAATAAGAAATAACATTTTGGACATTTTTAAACAAAAGCTGCCAAACAGAGCCTAAATCTTAACATATAAAGCATGGGGATGCTGCTGTATAGTGTCACACTGTGTTTAGGTTCAACAGGCGTTCAAAACACTGACATATTAATGATGATATTAAGCTTTCTTCATCATGTTAAAGTTCAGCTGATCTGGGTCTTATTCAGTAAGACAGAAAAAGAAAAGATAATCAGAGCATTGCTATTAACTAACTCAGGAAATTCCCTACCCAGATCATCCATTTATCACATCATTATCACTACTTTTATCTGATTTTGTGTATTTATTCATCAGTCAATGTACACCATACACTTAAAAATACATATTTTACATCACCACAGCAGACAAACTAGACATGAACTGGAGATAAACACATGCTACTGAGCCATGCTGCTGCCTGTTATCCATTTCCATCACCTCTGTCCCAGCACATATTTCTACTGTCATATCTCACCGAGTTATCTCCTGTTCTCATCAGTGCAGGAATTCCACCTTGCCTTCGAGGAACTCACCTCCCACTTCTAGATCTTTTCTAAATGTTTACATGAGGTCTAAAAGGTTAGGAGAGTAGTGTGCTGGGGTTTTCTTAGAAATAAGGGTTCAAAGGGGTTCTTCCTCAATGGCTGAGGTTCTATCCAGAACCATTTTCTTCTGAACAAACCCTTTTCTGAGGAAAGAGTGCTTCAAGATTTTGAAAACATCGCTGTTAAAAGATCTTCACCTACACATTTTCAAACGTTTACCCATGTTTGAAATTGTATTTTTAAATGTAGATGTATCTCTAATCCCCCCAATCAGTTCCTTTTACTTGTTTTGTGCCATAGGTTTACCATCTTTTCATGCCATACAATAGTTAATTGCGTATCTGTATTGACGGGCTCTTGGTATAACCCCTGAGTGGGTTCTAGATTAAACCCTTAGAATATAAAAGGGTTCTTAGTATAACATCCTGGATGGGTTCTACATTAAATCCTTGGAACATAAAAGGGTTCTTGGTATAACCCCCTGGGTGGGTTCTTGTTAACACCTTTATATGGTGAAAGGTTCTGGATAGAATCCCCAGAGAGGGTTCTCAAACTTTTTGAAGAAACCGATTTCCTTAAACCATTTAAGTTTATTAACTCAAACAATTTAAGCATATAAAATATCTAATTTGAGTGCAATTGAGTCAAGTATTTCTTAGGGTGACTTGGGTAAATTAAGTTAATCAATTCCTTTCAGTTAATTGCATTAAAACTAGTGAGTACACTCTTGCAGCATTTCTCCAAACTTATTTAAAATGCGTACAGAGAATTTATCAGAATAAGAAGTAGGAGTAACTTAAATGCATCTTCTTTATAGAAATGTGACCTCTTCAGTTGAATTTAAAACAGTTTTCTTCCACTAAAGCAAATTTTTAAATTACCTGTCAAAACCTCTGTTGTACGATAAGAGCAATTTACAATTAATCAATTATCAATGTGTTAGCCAGTTCATTTTCTATGGATAATCTAATCTTATTGTTACTGCTACTGCTACTCTCTCTGTCTGTCTGTCTGTCTGTCTGTCTCTCTCTCTCTCTCTCACCCCAACTGGTCGAGACAGACGACCACCCACCTAGAGCCGGAGGATCTGTCCTAGGTTTCTGCCTTTTAACAGGCAGTTTTTCCTTGCCCTTGTCGCCAAGTGCTTGCTCATGGTGGTACTGTTGGGTCTCTGTAAATAATGTTATAAAGAGTTCGGTCTAGACCTGCTCTATTTGAAAAGTGTCCTGAGATAACTTTGGTTATGAATTGGCGCTATACAAATAAAATTGAATTAAATTCAATTGAATTGCTAGCTTACTTGTTTTTGTTTTGTTTTTTTCTTTACATCTAATCTATATAGCATATGATGATTTATAAACTGAAATAAGAACAAAGATTAAATCATCATGCATAAGCATTATGGAACAGTGGTGCTTACATTTTTGTAATGATGAAAAGTCAACTTAAAGAAAATGAGTCAATGGAACAAACTGGAATCACCAATACTGCACAATTTTAAGTTCATTAAATAGAAAGTTAAAAGAGTTATTACTTCAACAATTTTTTTTTTGAGTTAGGTTTAATTAAAGTGACTCCACAGTTCTTAGAAAAGTAAGTTATATATAACTTACTTATTTTATATTATCATATTAAGAAATGCTGTTAGGTTTTACAGTGTGAGCCCTCCACATT